TAGCTCTTGTAGACCAGGTTGGTCTCGAACTCACAGAGATCCGCCTGTCCCTGCCTTCCGAGTGCTCGGATCAAAGGCATGCACCACCATTGCCCGACCACAAATAGCTTTATTAGGTATACTGTAACATGAAAAATAAAAGACCCAGAGACTGATATTGGGGTTCAAACTTCAAGCTGAAGATCAGGAAAGCAAAGTAGCGGGCCACTAGCTCTTACCGCTACCTCAGGCTGAATGGACTGATCCTGCTGCCTCTCCTCAGTGTGGCTGGAGAATCCTGAGACTGAATGTCTTCCTATTCAATGTGGCTGGAGAATGAATGCCTGATACTCAAAGTGGCTGGAGAATGAGTGCCTGATACTGTCTACTGAAGACCCTGCTCCTATCTTTTACATCCCTCTAGTGCTAGGATTAAGGGTATGTGATCCCAGGTGCTGAGATCTTCTTTGTGTGAGCTGTTTCTCTTTAGGGCTGGATCAATCTTCTGTAGATCTGGGTGGCCTAGGACTCAGAGATCTGTCTACCTCTTAGTCCTGAGTCCTAGGATTAAAGGTGTGTACCACCATCTCCCGACCTCTATAGCTTGTGGCTGACTTTGTTTTCTGAATTCTCAGGCAAGCTTTAATAAATCATAAATAATATATCACCACAGTATACCCTCAGAGGTGTGTAGCTCAGTTGTAGAGAGCCTTAGTGAAGCCCTAGGGTTGATCCTCGGCATACCATGGGGGATGTTGGCACAAGCCTGTAACCCCAGCCTCAGGAAGATGGAGGCAGAAGGATCAGGGTTAAAGGTTATTCGTGGCTACATTTTATATTCAAAGCCACCCTGATGTACATGAGATCCTCTTTAAAAAAAACAAAAACAAAAAACCAAAAACCAAAAACCAAACACAAGTATGTCTGGATTGAAGATGGGCAGGGTGGTACTGATCTGGAATCCCAGCACTCTGAAAGGAGAGGCAGGAGGATCAGGAGTTCAAGGCCAGCCTATGTTACACAGGACTCTGTCTCAAAATAAAAACAAGTTGATAAAGAGCCTGGCATGGTGGGAAATATCTTTAATACCAGCACTTGGGAGGCAGAAGCAGGCTAATTTTTGTGATTTTTGAGGTCAGCCAGGGTTATGTGGTAAGACCCTGTCTCAAATAAAAATTTAAAAGTAAGTATGATTGTCAGGATGATTCAGCAGGTGAAGCAAGTGCTTGCTGTGGAGCCTAGTGACCTGAGTCAATCCTGTGAGAACTGAGTCCTGGGATTGTCCTTTGACTGCTACACACACACACACACACACACACACACACACACACACACTCACACACACACACACACACGGGGGAGGGGGGAGATAAAATCCTGGAGAGCTTTCTAAATGTCTTTGGACGTCTTCTAAATCTTACTATTTTTGGAGGGAGAGGGTGTGTTACAGTCAGTGTGCATGTGGCGGTTTGAGAACAACTTGTTAAGAGTTGGCCCTCTCCTTCTATCACATGGGTCCTGAGGATCAAACTCAAGTCAAGTGTGGTGGCAATGGGTCACCTTGGAGCCTCCTGTCTTGTTTGTTTTTTGGCCTGAGTATATTATGTACACATTATTGAAAAATATTCTAAGCCAAGCAGTGGTGCCACATGCCTTTAATTTCAGCATGTGGGAGGCAGAGGCAGGAGAATCTCTGTGGGGTCCAGGCCAGCCTGGTCTATAGAGAGAGTTCTGGGACAGCCAAGGCTACACAGAGAAACCCTGTTTCAAAAAAGCAAAGCAAAACAAAACAAAGCTAATTTGTGTAGGCTCTGAAAGTTAACAGCAAAAAGTAAAGGCTCACCATGTAGCCCAAGCTGGCCTTGAATTTGCCTCAGGAGTCCTAGGATTACAAGCTGTGCTCCCATGACTTCTTCCTTATGAATCTTAGGCAAATTTATCTAACCTATAATTCTGTCTTCTGGAAAACCAAGACATACAGGGTGTCTCTGAAGATGAAGTGAGGTAATACACATACACTAATGAGTCAGTGTTGGCCAACTCCTGCTGAAATTCAGCATCCATAATTATTACCCATTATCTTTATAATGAACCAAACGTTCTGGCTGTACTCAGGACAGTGCACAGTAGGCATGTATGAATGGATTCGGACACTAAAGATTAGCTCTGCAGTAGAATGTTTGCCTACTACAAGCAAGGTCCCGTTTGAAATTAACTCTAGCATAAAAAGTTTGTGAAGTTTTTGTTTGTTTGTTTCGGACAAAGTCTCACCATGCAACCTTGGTTGTCCTGGAAGTCAGTATATAGACCATGCTGGCCTCAAACTCAAAGATCTGCCTGCCTCTGCCTCTCAAGGGAAAGTGCTGGGGTTAGAGACATGCACTACCACACCTAGCTTGAGTTTTTTTGACAGGATCTGATTTGTCATTTCGCTTGGCCTAGAACTCCCTATGTAGACCAGACTAGCCTCCAAGTTATAGAGCTCTTTCTGCCTCTACCTCCAAAGGGCTAGGATTAAAGATATGCACCACCATACCTGGCCACACAGAAATGTCTTAAAGACCGCTGGGTAGGATGGGCAGGTCTACCATGTGAGCCTCTGATCTAAAAAAAGAAACATTAAGACAGTATGGTGGAGGCTTAAAAAGAAAATCTCTAATCCCAACACTCAGAAGGTAGAGGCAGGAGAATCTGTGAGTTCGAGCCCTAGTCTATATAGCAAATTCCAAAAGATCCAGGACTGCATAAAAAGACCCGGGCTCGAAAGAAAAAAAAAAAAGAAAAAAAATGGTGGTTTGTTTGGAGCTCCACTCTAGTGACTTCTCAGCTCCAAGTCATCACCTATCCTCAACTGCAGGGTCAGCAGAGGCTGTGGTGCCGGCGGTCACGTGGAGCGGCGGGATGAAGGATGGGAGCGCGTGTGTGATTTAGAGGGTCTCCGGAGTCGTCATCTACCCACAAACCATGTTGACGGGGTCTTCGGAGCGGCAAGGGCTTTCGGGAGTAGAGGAACTCACGTGAAAACCTGGGACTGCCCACGTAGCGCTGCCCGTAGTTACGCAGAGGTCCAGTTTTTCCAGCTGGGGTCGCTGCCAAAACGGGGCGGGACCTTGGTGGTAACCACGCCCACCTCTCTGCAGAGGCTGTTAGCGGTCTTCTCCGGTTGCCCCCTCCGTTTCCTCTCTTGCACCTTAGCACCACTGTGCACACGGGAATCCCAGGGTGAAGAAGGCGTGGCCAGTTTCCAATCCCGCCCCAAATCCATGCGGAGGCCGCGCCCCTTCCGCTCCAGTC